TTGGCTTTTTACACCAGGACAAATTTAAGTTTGAGATGTAAATTCTGGAAAAGTTTTTCCTAAATTGTGATTGGTAAAACTTGCTGTTTGAGGTAAAAGCTCATAGGATTTTATTTTGAGTTGTCTGATGGATCATAATCCATTGATAATCAATAATCCACCATCTGAGAGAAATGCCACAAGCTACTCAAAGAATGTGATACTGGTGGGAAGTCAGCATTGGGAAAAACTGAGAGGACAATTTTAGCCTCAGTCTAAGATGGGATCCTCCTGGCTCAGTTTCCCCATTATGTTCCTTTGAAAGGGAATGTTACCCACCTGGGTATTCCTGAGTCTGGCTATGAGGTGGATTTGATACTGCATGGTTGGCAAACAGAGCTAAGGATGTTTTATCCTCTCGTATTTGGGCCCTAAATCTAGTTCCTGCTTTATATCTGGGCCCTGCAGTATTTTCTGGCAGATTTGTGTCTTCTAGACTACAGGCCATTCACCTACAGTTGATAGCAAACAGCGGGTACCAGCCAATGTCCCCCCCCCCATCATTCCCTGGATGCAGCCTGTGCTCAGTTTCAGTCAATATCCTCTTTGGGACACCCTTGAGGCTGGGATAGCTCTATGCCCCTTGCCAGCAGGAAGCCAAGACCTTCGCCCCTTATCCCAAAAGAATTTGGGTCCCATTTGTTTGAGGGGGGAATGATGAGGATGGGATCTAGACCCCAAAAAGGAAAAACCCTGGACTTTCCCACATAGCCAAATCACCTGAGGCTATAATCCCATCAACTGGCTTTTCATTGTGGCTATATCCAATCTCCCAATTTGGTTACCCTTAACCTAGCCTAGCCCTCCTTTGTCTCACCTCCTACCCCTTAATCCTATCTAGGCTTCATTCTCTTTTGGCCAAGATGGTCCAGGTCCCTATTACCTCATAGACTACTTGGCCACTCCTAGATCCCTCCCAAAGTCTTTCTGTATATAAGGTCCATCTTGTCTCCATTAATATGCTTAGATTCTTAAAATCCAGCCACTGCTCAGATTCTTATAATCTAGGCAATAGTTTACTAATGTTCAGACTCCTTGAGAGACTGCCCAATATGATGGATGTTCACCTTGTATGAAAAGAGGGAGAAAAACAGTGCTGGAAGGGTCTGCATTGGATATCAGTTGTGAAAACACATAAATGCTTATTTTCAAACATTTACATTTCAAAGGTATAACATACATCATTTTCCTTCAAAAAAAATTAGCCAGAATTGGCCAAAATCAAACCAAGGAAGCATATTCCAAACTCCCCCACAAAACAAAGTCCATTAAAAATTCAATCTCCCATTTTCCATTCAGACATCTGGATCCAAATTGTGATCTGATCTGCTTTGGATGGTACAGAAAGTCACTGTGAAGCATGGTGCCGAGAGATGCTTCAGCCTCTTGGGTCAGTCTGGGGGGATGGCTGGAAAGGGCTATGGTGCCAGTACTGAAGTTCTAATTCCTGGCATGTGGTGGCTGAGTACTCTCCATTGTCCAGACTTCCCAAGAGCTGTGCTTAGTATTTCTGATGCTGGGCGAAGAGTAAGTAGAAAAGTCTGTGTAACACAAAAAGGAAGATGTAACAGCAGCAAGGGGCTGAGACCTTATGCTTTTTCATGGGTTACAGATCCAGGGATGAGAGTAAGGGAAGGAAAAAATGAGTCTTGTTGGGAACAGAGACTGAATAAGCCCCTGAAACTGAGAAAGGAACGAGGCCCATAAGCCCATATCTGGGATTAAAAAATATCTTATACAGCTAGAAAAAATAATAACAAAATTCATGTGGAAGAAATAAAGGTCAAGAATATTAAGGGAAATAATGAAAAGAAATGCAAGGGAAGGGGGCCTAGCCATACCAGATATAAAACTATATTATAAAGCAGCAATCATCAAAGCTACTTGGTCCTGGCTAAGAAAAAGAATGGTGGATCAGTGGAAGAGGTTAGATACAGAAGACACAGCGGTCAATGACTGTAGTAATCTGTTTTATAAACCCAAAGACTCCAGCTTCTGAGATATGAACTCATTATCTAACAAAAAACTCTTGGAAAACTGGACAATAGTATGGCAGAAACTAGGCATAGACCAATGTCTTACACCCTATACCAAGATAAGGTCAAAAGGGTTATATGATTTAGACATAGAAGGTGAGACCATAAGCACGTTAGGAGAGCAAGGAATAATTAAACTGTCTGATCTATGGAGAATGAAAGTATTTATGACCAAACGAGAGATAGAGAACATTATGAAATGCAAAATGGATAGTTTTGATTACATAAAATTAAAAAGTTTTTGCACAAAGCCGCTACAATCAAGATTAGGAGGGAAGGAGAAAGCTAAGAAACAATTTTTATGGCCACAGTCTCTGATAAAGGCCTCATTTCTAAAATATATATTGAACTGAGTCAAATTTATAAGAATACAAATCATTTTCCAATTGATAAATGGTCAATGGATATAAACAGGCAGTTTTCAGATGAAGAAATTCAGGCTTTGTATAGTCATATAAAAAAATGCTATAAATCACTACTGATTAAAGAAATGCAAATTAAAACAACTCTGAAGTACCACATCACACCTATGAGATTGGCTAATATGACCAAACAGGAAAATTATAAATGCTGGAGAAGATGTGGGATAATTGGAACACTAATACATTGTTGGTGGAATTGTGAAGTGATCTAATCATTCTGGAGAGCAATTTAGAACTATGCCCAAAGGGTTATAATGCTGTCCAATACCACTTCTTGGTCTGTATCCCAAAGAGATCATAAAAACAGAAAAGGACCAACATCTGCAAAAACATTTATAGTAGCTCCTTTTGTGGTAGCCAAGAATTGGAAATTGAGGGGAAGCCCATCAGTTGAATAATGGCTGAACAAGTTGTAGTATGTGATTATGATGGAATACTATTGTACCATAAGAAATAAGGAGCAGGTGGACTTCAGAAAAACCTGGAAAGACTTACCTGAACCAATGCTAAGTTAAGTGAGCAGAACCAGGAGAACATTGTACACAGTAATAACAACATTGTGCAATGACCAACTTTGATAAACTTAACACTTCTCAATAGTACAAGGATCTAAGACAATTCCAAAAGAATCATGATGGAAAATGTATCCACATCCAGAGAAAGAACTAAGCAGTCTGAAAGCTGATCAAAGCATACCTCTCCCTCTCTCTCTCTCTCTCTCCCTCTCTCTCTCTCTCTCTCTCTCCCTCTCTCTCTCTCTCTCGGTTTCTTCTTTCTTGTGGTTTTTCTGTTTGGTTCTAATTCTTGTTCCACATGACTAATGTGGAAATATGTTTAATATGATTGAACATGTGTGGCTTACATCAGTCTGCATGCCATATTGGGGAGAGGGGAATGGAGGGAAGGGGAGACAATTTAGAACTCAAAATCTTATAAAAGTGAATATTAAAAGCTGAAAACAAATATTTTTTTAAAAAAGTGAACAGATGACAGGTATTAATATTACAAATGGAGAGCTCAGGATATCCTTGGGAATTCAAAATAAATTGTACTGGAACACTGTCATGGAACAAAACTATCATCTCCTAGTCATAACATTGATCCATAAAAATTCGAGAACAGCATTTTTAATAGTATACCAAGTGTTCCTAATCTCTAAGCTGCATGGATGAAAAGCTTTCAACATATAGAGACCTAGGGGAATAAGAGAAAAGCATGTGGAAAATGCCTGAGGAACATGTGATCCTCACAATCCTGTCTCCTCCTAGAATTGTCCTAAAGATGTATTCATGGAGCCTGCAGCAGATGAATTAACATCCCAATAATTTTATTGGGTTACAAAAGACAGTAATTCTGTGCAATGATCTGAAGAACATTAAACAGAAAAGAATGTATGTATGTAACTCCATCAAAAAGACTACTAGAGATGAATAATAATGATAATAATATCAAACATTTCTGTAGTGTGTCATAGTCTCAAAAGCACTTTGCGACGTCTCATTTGAACGATACAACCCCCCCGTAATTTATTTAGCACAGATATTATTATCACCCCCATTTTACAGATAAGAAGATTGAGGTTTAGAGCAAGACAGAACTTCAGTTTAGCTCTTGTGACTCCAATTCCGGGTGTCTATTCACTATGCCAATTCACTAGTGGCAGGGCGGCTTGTGTTGAAGAGAATAAAACCCCCCAAATCTTAGCTAGTTTTAGAAAGAAATTTATTAAGTCTCCTGGTAAAGGAGACTGAGGCAGAAAGAAGCGTGTGGCTCCCTATTGTCTAGGTTGTGGAAGGTTTATATTATATAGGATTTAGATTAAGGTACCCACATATAAACACCAGGGGCAGATGCACCTGCCTCCCTGGGTGCCCCGCCCCTGTCCCTCCCTTCCAGGCCTGAGCTTTGTCTCCTCTTGCCTGGAGAAAGGAGGCTGAGACCCGCCCCTTCCCCAGACCAGCCCTTTCCTACTCTACCCTGGGAGTTGTGAGGAATCCAAGTCCCATTCAAGGACTGGTGGTTTGCAGATGCTGCAGCAGCTACTGTGCTCTTCCCTATTGTGGAGTCCAAGACATCCCTCCCTCGACCTCCCCCTTCTCCTCTTTGTCCTCCCTGTTCCAGCTTCCCTAAAAGGACGGACCCTTAACAACCATAACCAGAGCTCAGCTGCTGCCCCAACCCCCAGCCCTGCAGCCTGCCCTCAGGAACCTGGGACCCTGGTCAGCCCTAGGCCCACCTCCAGGTGGAGGATGCACTGTAGCCCCCTCCCCTAACCAAGCTGGTTGATGGGGGCTGAGAGAAAGGACAGGGTAGGAGGGGAGGCTCACCACTGCTCTGGGCCTGATGTCACAGAGCCGCCTCCCCTCCCTCCTCCCTTCCCCTCCTCTCTGGGAGGAGACTATCCCTGCCCTGCAGTGACGTCACGGTGCCCGCCCTGGGCCTCCCACATTCTATTAAATGTAAGTCTTTGTCTTCAGAGGAGGATTTGAGTGGGGCGAGCTGCTGGAGGTCTGCCTGCCCCGCAACCACTTCCCTTCCCGTCTTCCCTCACACCCCTCTCCTCCTTTACAGCCATCTTCTTCCCATCTTCCCGACTGGCCGATCCTGATGGTCCTGCTAGTGCCTAAGTGCCTGTGAGTGAGGTAAGTGCTTCCTCCCCTGTACCTACCACAGCCCCTCCCTTTCTTCTTCTCTTCTCTTCACTCCCCCCCCACAACTCCTCCTCCCAACTGGCTTCACTTAGTTCCGGGAGGATGTGTCTAAGAGTGGGTAGAAGGTCCTGGGAGTATCAATACCTTTGTTTATGCGTGTGTTGAGTATGTAGATAGAATCATACGTGTGTGTGTGTGTGTGTGTGTGTGGTGTGTGTGTGTTCCCTGTCTGTGTCTCTGTGAGTGTATGGAAGTGTGGCGTATGGGTGTGTGTGTTCAGGGGTGAGCCTGTGTGTGCCTTCTCCTCCAGTGTTGCTCTTGCCTGAGGCTTCCTGCCTACCCAGACCTTTGTCTGGAGATCTGGGGGTTGGGGGTTCGGGGTTCATGGGGTTAGGTGAGGTGCAGGGGAAGGCCAGAAGGGAGAAGCCTTTGGGGACACTCCCTCCCTCCCCTCCTCAGGTGGACGTTTCCATCCTTTCTTCCTCCCTCCCTTCTATTCTTGACTTTGCCTTGGGGCTGGGAACAAAGGACCAAGTCTAAGAACTCTTCCCGTCCCCTTCTCCATATCATCTCTTTTGGTTGGTGTCATTTAATTACATGATATATTTGTTTTTGTTCTGGTTTCAACCACCACCTGGCGAAAGGGGAGTTTCCATGTACCTTGTTGTGGAACAGAAAGAGGAGACTGTCTCTGAACATGAGGATCTCTATGGATCTTTATGATTTGCAGGTTTAAAGAAAAGAGTTGTTTTAATGTGCACTTCTCTCATGATGAGGGATGTGAAGCATTTTGTCATAGGGCTATTCATAGCTTGGATCTTTTCCTTTGAAAACTTCAGTCCATATCCTTTGACCTATTGGAGAATGGTTCTTAATCTTAGAAATTGGAATCAGTTCCTTCTATATTTGGCATATACAAAAGTCCTTAGAGAATTTTCCTGCAAAAATGTTTTTTTTTTTTCTCACTTCACTGTTACCCTTCTCATTTTAACTGCATTCGATCTCTTTGTCTGAAAACTTTCCAACTTTATAGAAGCGGAATTATCCATTTCATTTTCTGTGTTCTTCTCTGTTGCTTGTTCTGTCGTAACCTCTTCCCCTATCTGTAGTTGTGAAAAGTAATTTCCTCCTTGCTCCTCTAATTTGCTATTGATTTCCCTTTGGCATCTAATTCTTGTATCTGTTTGTAATTTCATTTGATAGGTGGTGTGAGGTGTTGATGTCTTATCAAACTTCTGGCAAACTGCTTTTCCCTTATCCCATCTGTTCTTTGTTAATCAAATAGTGTGTCCTCCCCTGCACGCCACCCCCCGCCCCAACCCCTGCCACTGCAGCTTCTGTCTTTGGATTTATTAAGCACTATTTTATTTTATTGATTTCTTTCTGTCCTTTGCATACCTAATCTTTTCCATTGATCTCCCATTCAATTTTTAACAAGTTCAAATTGTTTTCTGGACAGCTAGGTATTCTACGAGGCCTAAAGTCAGGAAGACTCATATCCTTGAGTTTAAATCTGCCCTCAGATACTTACTAGCTGTGTGACTTTCAGCAAGTCACTTAACCCTGTTTCCCTCAATTCCTCATCAGTCAAATGAGCTGCAGAAGGAAATGACAAACCACTCCGATATTTTTGTGAAGAAAATCCCAAAAGGGGTCAGAAAAAGTCAGATAGGAACAATATGAAACAATATGAAACATTAACAGCAAATGTTTTCATAATCACTGATCTGTAGCATAGTTTGAGATCTGCTACTGATAGTTACCCCAAACCCATTTTTTTCCTCCTTCCCCCTTCCATTACTTCCCTTGAGATACTTGAACTCTTTTTAAACATTCTTATTAATATTTTCTGTTTCTTACATCACCAGGTTATCCCATGTATCCCTCCATTTCTCCATCATCAAGAGCCATACCATGTAATGGATTGTATTTTTTTTGTTTTAGGGAGGAAAAGAAGAGCAAGCATAACTGATCAGTGCATAAGGGAAAAGGTGTGTAATGTGTAACACCTATTGACCTCTCACCTCTTGGATGGGGTAGGATAATGGTGTCTTCTCATGTTTTTTTTTTTTTCATCCCACTTGATCTTTAACATTTTGTTACAGGTAATTTAATTTTTTGCATCATTCTTTCTATTTAAATTGTTGTAGTTACTGTGTATATTTACCATTTTCTTGGCTCTGCTTAATTCACTTTCTGTCAGTTCACGAAGATCTTTCTATACTTCTCTGTACTCATCACATATATCATTTCTTATAGCATAGTAGCAGTATTTCATGACATTTATGTTCCATGCCTTGTTTAGCCGTTCCCCAGTTAATGAGCACCTACTTTGTTTCATAGCTATCAGAAAAAAAAAGTGCTGTTATGAATATTTTGTAGCATATGAGGATTGTTTTCTTATTGATGGCTTCCTTGGGATGTAATGGAGTCCCTGTTTTAAAGGCTTTGTACATTTTTGTTACTTTCTTTGCATAACTACAAATTACTTTCCAAAATGGATGTGTCATTTCACAGTTCCACAAAGAATGTATTAGTGTGTGTATGTTCCCAGACCCTTCTTTAGGTGTCAAAACCATATTTATGACATAAAAAGGAATTTGATAAGACTCCTTTAACTGTTGTTTCAAATAGTATTGGGATGAAATGTTTTTTAAATGTTTGGTAGAATTAGTTTCAAATCCCTCTGGTCCTGGGGATTTTTTCCTAGGGAACTCTTTTTTGCCTTGTTCAATATCTTCTTTTGAGGTAGGGTTATTTAAATATTCTATTTCCTCTTCTGTTAACATGGGCAGTTTATATTTTTGAAAGCATTCATTTCATGTAGACTGTCAGTTTTGCTGCCATATGATTGGGCAAAATAACTCCTAAGCATTGCTTTAATTGTATCTTCATTGGTTATGCATTCACCCTTTTGTTTTTGAGACTGGTAATTTGGTTTTATTCTTTATTTTTTTTTTTGTTTATCAAGTTGACTAATGGTTTATCTATTTTGTTAGTGCTTTCATAAAATCAGCACCTACTTTTATTTATTAATTTGACTTTAAAAATTTTTTCTTAATCTCATCTTTGATTTAGGGATTTCCATTTTGATTGGAGATTTTTCATTTGTTCTTTTTCTACTTTTTAAAATTTCATGCCCAATTCCTTGATCTGCTCTTTCTCTGTTTTATTGATGTAATTCCTTTCCCCTAAGTACTGTTTTGGCTGCATCCCACAAATTTCTGTATATTGCCTAATTATTGTAATTCTCTCTTTAATGAAATTATTGGTTGATTCTATGGTTTGTTCTTGCATCCACTCATTCTTTAGGATTAGATTATTCAGTTTCCAACTAGTTTTCAGTCTATGCTTCCACATCTCAGTAATCTATATCGCATGGTGGTCTATAAAAGTTGCATTTAATATTTCTGTTTTTCTGCATTTTGTTATGAGGTTTTTATGTGCTAATATATGTTCATTTTTTGTGAAGGTGCCATGTACAGCTGAGAAAATGTTATATTTCTTTTTTATTTCCATTCAGTTTTCTCCAAAGTTCTAGCATATCTAACTTTTCTCATATTCTTTTCCTCTCCTTAACTTCTTTTTAATTTATTTTATGCATAGATTTGTCTAATTCTAAAAGGAGAAAGTTGGTGTCACCCCTTAGTATAGTTCAGGGGTAGGGAACCTGCAGCCTCAAGGCCACATGTAGCCCTCACGGTCCTCAAGTACGGCCCTTTTGCTGAATCCAATCCTTTTATTAACGGGATTTGTTCTGTGATGTTTTGATTCAGTCAAAAGGCTGCACTTGAGTACTTAGAAGACCACATGTGGCCTCAAGGCCACAGGTTCCCTACCCCTGGTATAGTTTTACTATTTCCTTCTGCAAGTCATTTAACTTTTCCTTTAAGAAGTTGGATGCTCTGCAATTTGGTACATATTTGATTAGTATTGATATGATATTATTGTCTATGGTTACTTTTAGCAAGATGTAGGTTCCCTGCATATCTTTTTAAATTAGGTCTGTATCAGTTTTTGGTTTGTCTGAGGCCATGATTTCTACTCTTGCCTTTTATACTTCAGCTAAAGCCTAACTGTGTGTGCTTGGGGCTGGAGGGAGCTAATTGTCTGAAGCTTCAGATCTTTTCACCCTGCTGTTTTCAGAGCTAGTTCTGGGGGTTTGAAAGTTTTTGGTGGTTCCAAAGTGAAGTGATTTGGGAAGAAGTTTGGTCATTGCTTTCCTGGTATGTGCTCTGGGCCTTACCCAGTAAGAACCCCTGATCCCTTAGGACTGCAATCAGTACTTCTCCACAAGGTCTCTGCTCCCTTTTTTTGCTATCACAAGTGTAAGTTTATTTTACCTTTTTGTACAGTATACTACAAAACACCAAAGTATACACAGGTTTAGGAATCTGTAGGAAGTTACCTCCACTCCTCTCTAAGGATGATATCTCATCAATAGCTTTACCCTACCTCTTCATGAGATAATCACAGTATAGGTTAAAAGTGGCACTCCCAAGAATACATTGTAAGATATAGGACCACTAAATTCCATCTAGAATTTGAATTCTAACCAAAAGAATACAAATACAGCATGGGGGGGGGCAGGGAGAGGAAAACTCTATTAATCTATTTTCACTTCCTCCTTTGTACCTAGAGTTCTGCTATTTAAACAGAAGCAAAGGAACATATAAAGACAAGATTAACAATCAATTATGTGGCAAACATCATTACATGCCCCTCAAGAGATTAAAATGGAGAGGTCCTCAACCTATTGGGTCACAACTTGCTTTTGCCTGAGGCACCTCTATGTGGAGTAGGAAATTGGGGTATGTGCTAGCTTTTATGAAGAGATTTCATTCCAAGTCAGTCCTATTTTCATCCACTGGCATTAATTATTAAAAATAGCTTCCTTGATTTCAATTTATAGACAATAGCATTAGGAACAATGTGAAGATATGTACCCTGTGCCAAGTCTTGATGTTCCAGGCCTACTGAGAAGAGACTGAACAGCTTCTTTGTCTGCTAGTCCTTTTTATCTTGTTTCTAGGCTACAGCTTGGTGGCAGCACCGTGGAGAGGTCATTCAGGCATGTGGACTTAAAAGGGGGTGAAATAACGTAGACCTGATTTTGCTTTTCTTTTTCTTTGTATCCTCAGAGCTTAGCAAAGTACCTGGCAAAAAGTAGGTACTTAATAATGTTGTTGATTTGTTTATTGAATCTAGTTCCAAGTTCTAACCCCTACTAGGGAGAATTATATTATTCAATTAGTTCTCCTCAATTATCCCTTATGTTTTATTACTTGGAGGGTTGTTTTCAGAGAAAAAAAATAGGACCAAATAAAAACCATGCATATAACAGGTCTAAATATATATAATATATCACAGTATATGTAATTATCTAGCATATGAAGAAACATAGGTGCATAAAACATACTGGTAATCTAACATTTAATCATATAAGGTTGTAGTTACACTGAGGGGGGCTATGGGGGGGGCTATAGGATCACCATAAATATGAGGGTTGAAACCAAAGTTATTTTGACAATCTCCAAAGGCTGTTTAGGAAAATTTGCATTTACTTATAGGTTTGTTATTTTTTTTCCATGGAATTTACTGGATCCATTCAAAGACTGTTTCAAACTGTGTATTTCCAGACTACTTCCCTGCAACTAACGCCTTATATCTATTCCCCCTGCCCCCAATCCCTATTTCTATTTAGGAAGATAAAGGCTACAACCATCAGTACTTGCAGTGGATGAGAGGAAGACTAGGCTACACAAGTGGTTTATGGAGCAAGAGTAGATAAATTAATTTCCCTTGCATGAAAGAGACAAAACCCCTTTTGATTTGGAAGCTGCCAACAGAGCAGTGGAGAAGAAGGAAGGTAAAGATGAGACTAAAAAGGTAGAGGTGTGAAAAGGAATCAGAAGTACTAGAGTTGAAAAGAATTTTTCAGATCAACTAGTTTGATTTCATCATTTTATAGATAACAAAACCGAGGTGAAGATGATTTGCTCATGGTCACACAGGTAGTTAGGGTAGTCAGAATTGGGACCAAGGTTTCCTCACTCCCAGACCAATGCTATTTTCCATTTTCAACAATTGCTTCCTAGAATGACTTGCGTTCTGATAGGCATTTCTTTGGGGAGACTCAAAGAGCATTTTATTTAAAACATAAAGTTGGGAAATTGGGGGAAAAATTCTAAGCAGAAAATGTTAGTTATTTTTATAGGTCCAATTCTGATGACAAAGTTTTGTCCAAGTACTTTGGAGAAGCAGGTCTACTAAAAGATAGTCAACATCTACCTTAAGTCTCTATGCACTCTTTAATTCCACCTCCATTTCTTCTATTGGAAGGACATTTGCTTAGTGTCTCAAGGATTATAATGAAATCAAAGTTAATCTCCATAAATTATAGGATTGTTGTTTACAGTTCCCATCTCTTTCACAATCATAGTCAAATGTAATATTGATTCTGCTAACTGGTTTGGTGAATTATTCATTGGCATCTGCATTGTGCTTTTCCTTGGACCTCTTCCAGGGTACCACAATGGAGGTTGTGAAGTGTGGTGGTAAGGAGGGTCCCAATCCTTTGCACTTTCTTCCAGCCTGGGTGGCTTTGTCTTCTTCTGTGTGCTCCTCATGTTCCTGCTCTATGTCACCTATGCTGGGACCCGGGAGCATCCTCACATGCCTATTTATGACAATTCCTTCTCCTACTACCTTCCTCACTCAAAAAAATTTTTTTTACCATGGGTTCTTGGCTCAGCTACCCCTCTTCCTTTTCATCTGACCAATGATGCCTTCTACCAAAGCTATACCTTTTCCATTTTTAATATATGTATACAATGACTTCAGAAGACTCACACTACCCATCCCCTATACCCTGGACCCCTAGCCTCTGTCCTCATTCCCACAGGTCCTCATGGTGGGCCCTCTATCTCTTTATTCCCTTTGGCTCTTGATTCTTCAGAGAGGCTTTGGGCCCCTGTATTCACATCCAGTT